CAGGGGAGGTGGATGTGCCACATGCCAGTTGCACCCACGAAGCAACCCTGTGTAATCTGCACAGAGGTCAAAAAACTGAACGTGGCCAGCTGTGTAGAAGACCCTGTCACAACCTCTCTCTCTCCAAAGGTAGTCACATCTGTACTTGTGGTCATTGTTTCCTGGCCTTTTTTTTTTTTTGGAGTCGGAGTCTCACTCTGTCACCCAGACTGGAGTGTAGTGGCTGCTTCCAGCCACCACAGCCTCGACCTGCTGGGCTCTGGTGATCCTTCCGCCTCAGCCTTCCAAGTAGCTGGAACTACAGGCGCGCACTACCACGCCCGGCTAATTTTTTGATTTATTGTAGAGATGAAGTCTCATCAAGTTGCCCGGGCGGGTCTCAAACCTGCGGACTCAGGCAATCCACTCACCTCAGCCTCCCAAACGGGGGATTACAGGCTGAGCCACCGAGCCTTTTAAAGTCACGTTATCCGTCTCTGGGTGGCCACAGTAGCTCCACAATGCTGTTGCGGGGATGGGACACACGAGGGCGCGCGGGGTCCTTCCAGGCCTAGGCAGGCCAAGAGACGAGGGGCCCGTGCTTCTGTCCCTGTGACCTCAGGGTGGGGGTGAGGGATCCTGGCCTCTCTCCTCCAGGGATCTCGAAAACTGCAAAACACTGTACAGATAAGGAAGTGCTACTGTTATTATTGTTTTTTGGGTTTTTTTTTGAGTTGGAGTCTCACTCTGTCACCCAGGCTGGAGTGTGGTGGCACGCTCACGGCCACTGCAGCTTCAACCTGCTGGGATCCGGCGATCCTTCCGCCTCAGTCTTCCAAGTTGCTGGAACTACAGGCATGTGCCACCATGCCCAGCTACTTTTTTTGATTTATTGTAGAGATGAGGTATTACCAAGTTGCCCAGGCTGGTCTCGAGCCTGTGGGCTCAGACAACCCTCTCATCTTGGCCTCCCAAAGTGCTGGGAATATAGGCATGAGCCACTGGGGCTGATCTTATTATTGTTTTTAAAATTATTTTGAGTCTTTTAAATACTTATTTTTTGGCCATTGCCTTGCTAAGCTATTGTCTGGCCACACGTTCTTTGAGCTATGGTCTGGCCCTGTTTTCCTAAGCGTTGGCCCCTCCCCTACATTGGGGAGGTGAATCTCCTCTCTCTCTCTCTTCTCTCTCATTCACTTTCTAAATAAACTAGATTTTCTAATTTAAAAAATACTTATTTTTTGGTAAAACATAGGATATTGTTTTTTAGAGACAGGGCCTTGCTCTGTCTCCCAGGCCGGAGTGCAGTTGCAGAATCCTAGATCATTGCAGCCTCGAACCCCTGGGCTCAAGGGAACCTCCCACCAGTCTCCCAAGTAGCTGAAACTATAGGTGCCTGCCACCGTGCCCAGCTAATTCTTTGACTCAAAATTTGTTTCTTTAGTAGGAGTCTCACTGTCACCCAGACTGGAGTGCAGTGGCATGCTCACGGCCACCACAGCCTCCACCTGCTGGGCTCAGGCGATCCTTCCACCTGAACCTTCCAAAGTAGCTGGAACTACAGGCACGTACTACCACACCTGGTTTATTTTTTGATTTATTGTAGAGATGAAGTCTCACCAATTGCCCAGGCTGATCTCGAACCCCTGGACTCAGTCAATCCTCTTGTCTCAACTTCCCAAAGTGCTGGAATTACAGGCTTGAGCCACTGCGCCAGATCTGTTTCTTGCCATTTTTGAAAGGGTAATTTTTTTTCACGGCCCTCTGGTGCCTCGTTGACTTTCAAGTTTGCCCTAGAAACCTGGTCCCAAGGAGAGTATCTCCTTGGCAGCAGTACCATCTTTGTCCAGAGGATGGCAGGCGAGGCCAGCAGAGAAGATGGCACTCAGCGGCCTGAGCCAGGCCTGAGAATGTTATCTATCTCTTTCCATAAAAGATACAGGAACCTCCAAACTATTTGCCAACCCTGTACATGTGCATTGAGGCTAAGAACTAGCCTTCGAGGCATGCTCTCGGACTGTAATAGCAAGTTGTGAAGGGGCGGCTCTCATAAACCCTCTTTGAGTAGTATCCCTTAAGACCCCATGGAGAAGGAACTCATGTGAAGCCCTCAAGTTCTAAACGGTTCAGGACATTCTGCATGCTTGGCAAAGCTCACTGGCTTTGGAAATCACTCCTAGCTCTTCGGCCCTGGTGGCTCCTCCCCTCTCCTCAGCTGACTAGAAACTTCTGGTGGAGTTCATATCCCTCTGGGCACAGGTTTGTGCTCTCCACAGGGGTCCATAAAGACTTTTTGACTTGAACTTGACTGGAAAGAGGTGACCGCCTGACGAAATGACATGGGGAATTTCCAGCAGATGGGAATTTGCGAACTAGCTCTTTTGTGGGGCTTAGCTGGTCCCATAATACTTTCTCCTCAAAGTCATGACCTTTCCCACCCCTGACCCTAGGGGTGCAGGGATAGCCCTGGGAAGAGGTGAAACACCTCAGTTTTGTGCTAAAGCAGATTTTAAGACTGCAGCCTCCCCTATGCCGCCTCCCCCCTACCAGGCCATTTTTCTTCTGACCTAAATCCTCCCCTGAAACTGAACTGGGCTCAGGGCCAGGGTGTCAGCGTGGACAAAGGCGCCCTGTTTTGGAGGCCTGGCTACTGTGTTTTCCTGCACCATCTGATGAAGGGTGTCGGACTCCCCCAAGTTAATGTGATAACATAGAAATAAAGATGGCAGTTGCCTCAGTCCAACTTCCCAGGAAACCAGAAACACATTTCTCAAGTTTCTACCATGTGGCGACAGGGTTGTTTATGGGAGCAGCCCACCCCTCTG